TTAGCTCCTGAAAACTACGACAGCTATATTTGGCACTTTTATCAAAGTTATTCATATGCTAAAAAGTTAATTTTGTGATTAAACACTAGTTTTCTTGTTAAGATGTTATTTCTGGCAGAAAATTTAACAAAATAAAAATAAAGGCATATTTTCATATTGAAGATAAAAAAATTAACACAACATTAATTTGCATAGTTTTTTGTCCTTCGGTGAAATGTAGCACAATGCACGTAACATTAATTTCAATTCTTAGCAGGAAAGCAGGATTTCCTCGAAGCGTAACCAAGTACAGTAAATAATTCGGTTTTTACACTCTTTTGCAACCATTATCTAAAAAATTAAAGAGTTGCTTGTCAAATTTTTTTTTAATTATTAAAATATAGGAACTCTAGTTAGCACTAGCACTGATGAGACTTAATACTCAATGGTTCAAACAATTTTTAAAAAAATTAATCAAAAAGTAATAGTTTACAAACAAACTGTAGGTACAAAATTGTTTAGAGTTTTGAAGCTCTATTTTTACATGTGTATTAATTTGAATAAAGCAACTATTTGTAATTTGTTTATTAATCTAGCTTTGTAACAAAAAATATTTTAGAAAATTCTTAAAACTAAACCTAAAAAGAATTATATTTTTTAATATTAGACTAGCTTTTCTAACAGATGAGAACTTTAAATAATCTCTTTCATGAATAAACGAAGCATTTTGAGTATATATTATTGTTAATTAGTTAAAAATGTAATCTTTATTTATAAAATGAATACAGCAGCGCTGCAAAATGACTTTATGAATCCGAAATCCCATTCTATTTAATAAATATTTTGAGATTTTAATATATCGTCATTCGCTCTTATGATTACTTCTTGCGGCGTCAATCATAACAAAGGAGTCTGGATATAAAAATCAGAATGGTATCATCATTATACAAAAAGAATATTAAAATAGATTGCGAATAAAATCAGATGGATTAAAATTGAAATATTTCCGACTATATATATTCTGAAAATGATAATAAGCATATTTTGCATAGTAATACACTAGTACAAGTCCCTATTTTTATGAACTTTATTTTTTACATGAAACAAGAAAACTCCTCATAATTATTTTAAAATATTCTCAAGTATTATATATAACATGAAACTTTTTAAAAAGTTTCAAATTTACGTGTTTGAAGGGAAAAAAAAAGAAAGAAAATCAATCCTAAAAGAGACTACAGGTGAGAAAAATTGCATAATATGTGAAAAAGTTAACTATTATCTACTATTTGATCTATGTATGATTACAATAATAAATTATATTACTGTTGACTGTAAAAGCATATATCAGTTAAAAAAATATGTAGCGTCACCATTGAGTAGCAATTATAACAACCTTTTTTTGCATTAATTAGCCATTTAAAAAACAAAGTTAAAAATCAATTTATGAGTGTAATAACAAGGTAAAATTAAATAAATAAAAAACTTGATGAAGAAAATTGTTAAACAAAATTACTTTGTTACATAAATTTTTTTAAACGCTGATTTTTTTTTACTCAGAAGGTAATGAAATTTCCCCTTTTTAAGTGCTTCATCCAGAAAATTTAAAAAGCATAGTGCCTGATAAATTTGTATGAATTATAACTTCAATTTCAACAACAATAAAAGTCATTGTTTATATAAGCTCAGATATATAAAAAGCTTAAAGGCAATAATTGTACAATTATTGAAAATACTTCATTAAATATATATTTCAAAAAAGACTTTTTAGTTTTGAAAATGCATACCAATTTTAGAAATGTTTATAGCAAAAGATTTGAAGCTACAATAGTAGCATATATGTTATTCTCCTTTATAAACAATGTATATAATTTATAATGCTAAATAAAAAATTTTACTAAATTTTCTGATGATAAAAAACAGTGTAGAAGATGTAAGAATCTTGTAATATTAATAAATTCAGAGAAATTTGTATACATAGTTAATTTTTTAAGAAATCTATCTACACATGAAAAAATTGAGTATAAAATTTATAAATTTGAACTTTTAATGTACAAAATTAGTTAAGTAAGAATTTTTTAGTTCAAAAACCTTCTCTGAAGTTAAAAGAGAATCTGCAAACAAAAAATGCCTAATAGAATTTACATTGCAATTGTTCATTTCAGAAAATTTTCTTTAAATATTTGAATTTAATTATTTTGCTTAAATATACACACAGAGGCAATAAAAATAATGAAAATATAAGTTGCATAGTAAGTTATTACATTAAAAAAGATAATTTTAAATTCTTGCTTAAGCTCCATAATAGATTTTATAATTAACATTGATTAAAAAAAGAAAAGAATACAGAAAAAAATGCCTAACATTTGAATTAAATTACACAATTCTGCTAGTGGAATTTTTTTAATCAAATAACAGTAAAAATTTTCTCGAATGCATTACCCTGCAAAAGGGGGGAAAAAAACTAATTTATTAAATTAGATAAGTATTCATGATTTTCAATTTCAGATGTAAACAGAAAGTTTACTGAATTGCTTTTTAATCAGATACTAAGTCAAACAAAAAATAAACAGTGATTTTTTTCTTTTGCAAGGTAATGTAATATTTAAGAAAATTTTTATCCACGGATAGTTTAGCTTTCAACAGAACTAACCATTTTTTTACAAAAATTATTCATATTTCATTAAATACATACATAATTAATCAAAAGAATAACACATTTCTTATAATACGCAGCCTACTTAGATAATTAATTTATGCTTGCTTGTTTCATTAATACTAAAAAACAGAGCTATATTTTATTATTAATTGTAATGTAATAAATAAAATAAAAAAGGGCAAGTCATCACAATGTAAATTTTTTAATAAATACCCTTTATATCAGCACTTTGCTACTCAATGTATTTAAGACAGATGCATATCTGCTAAATAAAAAAAAAGTGAAGTCCTTTGTCTTTCATTAACATTAATTTCTTACCAAACAGCTATACTTTAGTTAATTATCCATAAAAATATGCATTTCAGTGAAACATCCAACTTTTACTAGAATAAGATACCAATTTAATTTACAGTACTTGAAACACTTCAATGTGATTTTTCATCCAATTACACCGACAAAATAAATGAATTACTTTTAACAAGTATAATACTCAAGAAAAGTTAAAGATAAAAAAGAGCAAATTCTATCTAACATAAATGAATATATTTATAGAAAACCTACTTTATAGCCTAACTTTTTCTTTTTTTACAATAGAATGTCTGATTTTCAATGAAATCTTTTAGCATATTATACTGACTAGTAATCATAGTATAAATGAGTAAATATAAAAGTAAAATCATTAATATATGACTAGAAATTAAAGTAGAAAAAATAGATTTGGAATGGTTAATGACTCTGAAAAAAAAACAATTACTTTCCCAAACATACTGTAAAAATAAATAAGCTAATAAAAGGAAAAATAAATGCATCCTTAATTTAAATATAAATACAATAAAAATAAGTAACAAAATAACAAGTTTGCACAATTATACTAAAAAAAATAAACTCCAATTTTATAATGGAATTCAAAGAAACCCTTTACTTTTAGCAAAACTAGGTTTGTAAGACAATTTCATATGTTTTAAAAAACAGCCAGCTTTAAAATAAGAGAAAGTAAACTTTTTTCCCTCTTACTTACATTTGATACTATAATGCATATATTTTTTTATTTGCTTTACTTCATTTTTAAATTAAAACTAAAGGTCTGGTTTCTTAGAACTAGCGCCTTATCTGGGCGTCAGCGGAAAGTTGACGTAGATCTGACGCCAAAAAAAGACTTTTTTGTTAGCTCAGCGTGAGCAGTCGGTATAACGCAGACATTATCTCTCATTGCGCATGCGTTACTAACGTAAACAAATATTTATTTTGAATTTGTATTGATTTTGTTATCGTCGACCAGTGTTTTAGAGAACAAATAATGACTTTGTCCAAGAAAAAACACATTATAGCTGAGCTAAATGAAGAGTGCTATGTTTAATGAAGAAGCTATGTTTAATGTCAAAATCAAAATCTTGGCTGATTTTAATGTGCTGTTGGATGTTGTCCGCCATTGCTTCTGTGGTTAACGTCACGTTGTAATCCAACTGCAGTTGAGTTGGACGGCAATTGTAGTTCAAGATGAGCGTTCGATGACGTATACTATCAAACTCACAAATGGACCGATCAGAGGTTAGCGCTGATTACCAGCTGACGGCGTCCTGTCCTAAGAAACCAGGCCTTAAGGGTTGCAAAAAAGCAGTAAATATCATTTTAACTCTTTGCAGTATAAGATATTCTGCATTTAGTTTAGTTTTAAATAATTAAAATGAGTTTAAGAACAAGTGATGATTTTTTCTTATATAAAACTAAAAACTTTTGCATAACTTCTATTTTTGTTTGAAAAAATATTTTTTATATTTTTTTCTTTTCTAGCCTAGATATATTTCTCTTACATTTCTAAATTATCTTATAGTTACAAGCTTATTAAAGTACTTTTATTTATCTCAATTTAGTTGACAGCTTCTGAAGTGCATGTTGCGCATTTCAGGGGTAAAAAGAATAATTAAAGGAAAAAATAAATAACCAATAAAACTTCATTATTGGAAAATACCTGGCCTTTGTTGTAATCTAGTCAAAAACATACCATTTAAAACATACAAAAACTTAAAAAACAATATTATTTTCATAAACATGTCTTTTCCTTGTTAAAAAAAATAAACAAAAATATATAATGTTGCATATATTTAGCACTATGCATAGTAGATTTGTACCATCCTTATCAACTAATGGTAGTCATTTATACTTACTAAAACACTTACAACTTTAAGAACGATAGGAACCGTTAAAAAAGTTTTAAAACTATATGACTTTTTCAAAACAAGCACCACTAACTATTTCAATAAAAATAAAATATACCTATTTAATACAATACTAGTAAAGTTAATAAAACATAATAAAATTAATAATAACAATAAATTAATAATAACATGGAATTTAAAATAAGCACTTTAAACTACCATAAAATAATTTTTTTTTTTTTAAAGTATAAGGTTATGACTCGTATAAATCTAGTTAGTCTAGTACCTATCACACATTTCCACAGTCATTCTTGATTTTGAAATTACACTTTATTTGTACACACAAATATTTGATTATTTATACTAGAGTTATAGATTGAAGAGAAGGCAAAATATAATGAAGATCTGCATAATTTTCAGTATTTTTAGTTTACCATTCTCAACATGAATTAAAGCTTAAATTTATACCAAAGCAGAGGAGATGTATATTATCTGGACCACAGCAGTCAGCTTTTCAGAGCAACAGGTTGATGGAAATAAGTTAACACTCATTAAAAAAAAAAGGTTAGCACTGACAGTTGGCGTTAGAGGGAGTTGTATGTTCATTCAGTCTAGTGCCCTTAGAGGCACTGACCAAGCTGGGATCAGAATCAAGACTCTCTGACATCTTGTCACAGATAATGTCCACCAATCTCTCAAAAACTGACTTCACATTCAGATTTTCTTTGGCAGATGTCTCAAAAAATTCTAACCCTAGTTGATCAGAAAGTTGCTTTCCTCGCTCAGTGGATACTACTCGCTCATCCTCCATGTCACATTTGTTACCAACTAGCACTACTTGAGCATTATCCCAAGAATATGTCTTTATTTGGGTGACCCTGCAATGAAATAGGTATGTAGTCCTAAGTATGCACTTCAAAATAATAATAATATATATATAAATAATAAACAAATAAAATTAAAATCAAACTAATTTTGTTTTTTAAAAAAAATTTTTTATATCAACTGAAAAAACTTGAGTACAACTAGATACTACTGCTTAAATTATTTATCATGATTTATTATTTATCAATTATTTAGGGCAGAAACCAACAAGACTAGAAAACTTCTGGACGGTATGCAATATATTTCAATTGTAAGTAATACAATAAATAAAAAAACATTAAACAAATAAAATTAAAATCTATTTTCTTTTTAAAAAATGTATTTATATCAACTGAAAAACTTGAGTACAACTAGAAACTATTTCTTAACTTATTTATCACTATTTATTATTGATCAAATATTTAGGGCAGAAACAAACAAGACTAGAAAACTTTTCGTAAATCGAATTAAAATCTATATATTAAAATTTATTAAAAAACTAATTAACTAATCATAATCAAAACTAATCATGTAGAACAATTGAAGATATTGAGTATAATTAGAAAATATAATTTAATTTGTATATGAACTTATATCATGAAATGAGTTGTGGTTCATATCAAAATTTATTAAGGGCAATAAATAAAACTTGTAAACTTTGATGAAAACTAAAATTTTTATTAGATTTTCCTAAAAGGGCAAAATTTTAAGAATATACAGATAGTCAGTCTAAAAGAAATAAAGTAAAAATGCAGACAAAAATGCCCGATCATTAGGGTTCACATCAGCAATTGAAATTTAGTGGTCCAATATGACCACCTAGGTATTCATCAAGAGGTCTAAAAAATTTATAGGGCAGACAAACTTGTGAAAAAAATATTGAATTTACAATTACATGTTTCATGTTCTGGTACACATTATAAGTTATTAACTGCCATCTATTACACCCTAAAACTAATTTGGTTTATTTCCCCCCTAATAATGATTGAAGATTAGAATTTATTAAGTTTGAAAAATCAAGCTAAAATAATATTAGTAAATATATTTAGCACACTGACCAAATAAATAAAGAAATGAGTAAAGCAGACAAAATAAAAGCTAAAAATGATCTAAAATCTTTAATAAGAAGCAAATTTTAAAAGAGCAAAAAAATTATGTTTTATTGATGAACAATTACACCGTTAGTACATGAAGAAATACCAGAGTTTATGCTCGAGTAATATTTATATACATATTAATTGTTATCCTCACATTATAATTGATATCCTGATTGTTATCCTCATATATCAATAAGCGACATAGTAAAAATATAAAAATAACAGTTATTCCAATTGAAAAATCTTAAAACTAAGACCTATTCTATTTGTGCAACATTTTCCATTAAACTAAACCAATCATAGAACATTTGGCGACAATTGTTGCCAAACTGAACTGAACTCTAACCATCACAATAAACAAATCATCATTTGAATCTGCAAAGGATCATTATGAGTCTAATAACTCATAAGCAATATTTTTATTAATTTCTTATAACTATTTTTTCTAGAAAGTAGTAATTTGATTTTTCAACCATATGTAATTTTTTTACATACTATGCTTTAGTACTAAATAATAGTTATTGTCTTGAAAATATTAAGATTGGCTAAGAATTTGATTGAATAATAACAATCCCCACTTTAAAAATCCTAGTGCAGCTGCAATGAAAAACTGTTTAATGCTTTGTTTCATTCAAGCTATGATTTATTTAGTAAGATGATTCATTCTTTTAAATGCCATAAGCAAAAATTAGTCTTGAATTAAAAAAAGTAAAAACTTAAAAAAATTAATGCAAATTGTTTGAAAGGATTTTATATCAAGTACAACTAACTTTAGAATTTGAGTTTTAAAAGCAAAACTATAGTAAAATAAGAACTGTTCTAATACAGTTGAAACTCATTAAAGAATGAAATTATAAAACTACCAAATCTCCATAATATTGTTATTACTAAAAATTATCATAAGAAATCTATATATACAATGCACAAGAGTATATACATACTGATTTTATAATTTATTTTCTATTTTTTCTTGAGTAGGTATTTTTACAGAAAATTAGTTTTCTGAGTATTTCTACAGAGTAATACTTTTACAAGTTCTACTGTTGTATTGAGTTAAGAGAAGAGAGGTTAAAATCACGAGAGGAATTTATTATACTTGCAGGAAATGAATATTTTTCGTAAGGATGAGCATTAAGTTAAATGGCACAAAAGTTGGCAGTGGCTCTTGCAGTATCAAACACAAACATTTTTTTCAACCTAATTTAATTAAATCAAACACAAAAATGAAAAGGTAATTTGGGTACCCCAGGGTCATAGAAATTGGACTTACATGAACTAGATAAAATCCTTAAGGGAGTGAAAATATTTAACTGACCTCTAGCTATGAAGCAAATAATAATCTGGTAGCATAATATGTCAAATGTCATGTTATCTCCATACTGAATATTCAGAAAACAATTCTATTATTTTATTTAAAATCAGCAGTCCCAAAAAACTACATATTTTTGTAGTTAACTACAACTACTTTTAAAATGTAGTGCTGTCACCTTTATCAGCCATATCAATTAAATCCTTGCATATGTTCACTTTCACTTCTTTTTGTTCAGGTGATAACATTTTTGGAACCATATGCAAACATGTTCAAATCATTATGAAGAATGCTGTGAACACCCCTGTGTGAAGTTCCAAGTTCAAAGGCAATAGCATCAATGGACAATTGCCTATTGGCATGCACAAACTTTCAACATTTGCAAATGCACTCAACATTTTCATTTGTGGTGGAAGAACGGGGCACCCAGTTAGAAGATCATCTTCAATGTTTGTGCAACTTTCACGAAAATGCTTATGCCACTCATACACAGACGTTTTTTTCAAGGCATCATTTCCGTTCACTTTCTTCAGCATAGCATTTCAGAAGGAGATTTACCAAGCAAAATGTAGAATTTTATGTTTGGATGCTGTTTTAAACACGACATTTCAAAGTCTGAAGAATGAAAAATTTGCTTTGTCAGAAATAACCTGCAGCTAATACAGACAGTACCAGAAATGAATTCCAAATGGCTGTGTGTTTTCATTATTAGTGCTACCAACCTCTAATAGAATGTTTTCCCTCCAACAAACACCTGTGTGAATGTAGGCGAGTATTTTGGGAATTTATTGACTCTACCTTGTATATCTTAACATTATGCAGTTTAACTTCTATTAGCATTTCCTTTATTTTCAACTCAGAATTTAAGTTTCAGTTTTTTTTTCAAGTACTTAAATAATGTGAAATAAAGCTCTTATTTAAATACTTCATTTTAATAAAATACTTCCAGCATTCAACCTATTTTGATGATTATTTTTGGTAAGATTATACTATAATTCGTAAGTTTAGAATTGCAATTGCAAATTTTTTGTTCCATTCATAACAAAAATGAAGCAAAATGGAAATTTTTTTATAAAATTAAGCAATATTTTTATAATTCTTTCTGATCCTTTTATCATTATTAGTAACAAGTCAAATGCAATTAAAAAAAATTTCCAAGCATTCAACTTTCTAAAAAATTAGTGCAATAGAAGTAACACTTTGTGCTACGGATGCAAAAATTCCAAAATTAAAAACTATAAATGACACTTGTTAGGTATAAATATATGTAAGAAAGACAACAAAAAAAAAATATTTCTAAACCTTTGTTCCCTTTATTTGTGATAAAATTCAAGCCTATATCATTTAGAATGTGTTATATTTACAGGGTAAATATTTTCAGATGAAATATTTTACTAAGTGGCAGAATATGTAACAAATATTCTGCCACTATTCAGTACTCGGTCTTTTTGCCAAATATTTTGTTGGTCAAATGTTTGGCTAAATATTTGGTAAAGTATTTTTTTGGAAAAGTATTTTTCGACAAAGTTTCTTTTTTGGAGAATAGATTAAATGAAGAATAATCTAAAATCATAATTTCATATTATCATTAGAAATAGTTTTAACATGTATAATCATTAAGTTCTATTGCTTGCCCATGGCTTGCAAATTTGATATCTGGAAGATAAATGGTAAAGCAAAATTTAAAGAATTGAAACTAGATAATTTTACACTGAACCATGAGTTTTGTACTGCTATTTTTTAAAATTTTGTTCTAGCAAGTCAATTTTACCGTATTTTCAAAACTTTTTGTTTTAGGATTTTTTTGTTGTTTTTGTTATGGTGCACATTTCAGCAAAGCGTTTCTGATATACTTCACACTTTCACTGCCACTTTTCTCCTGTACGGCAAGACAGATAACTGGTAACACAGAAAACCGTAATTTTCTGTTTCTTTCAATTTTCTTTTAATCAGTATTTTTACCATGACACAGCATTTTTTAAGAGCATTTCTAATTAGCGTTATTCTTTTATCATCAGTTTTGTCTAAAATTACAAGAACGTGAAAAAGTAAAATTTAGATTTTTAGAGTTAATTTTTTACCCCATACCAATTTTAGGTTTCCTACAGCTAGGTTTTGATTTATTTTCAATAATGACTAAATTTATTTAAACATAAAAAATATTTATTAATGATTTTTTACAAAAAAAACAACAACTTGTTATTCGATTGTCGAATATTTGGTATTCCGTAGATCTTTTTGGTTAAATATGTTCGGTATTCGGCCAAACCACTATTCTTTACATTCCTTCTAAAGTTTATAATATTTTGGAAAGAAATAGCATTTTAAAGATTGGCAATATTTGATATCAAAACTCAAAATTCACAGTGGTTTGTTGGTCCGTAAAATAATTAGCAGAGGTTCCAAGACCAGCAATCAATGCAAAGAGATGGCCTGCTCTTTAGGATTTTTTAATTTCGAATTCACGTTTTGGTGGTTTAATTTTAATATGAATTCATTTTATTAATTTAACCCACTGACGGTTCTGCACGTAAAAAGTCGCATTTTAACCTGCAGTCTTCTCTGCATAGCAAAACCGGTTTTCCCATGTTAACTGATAGGGGAACTGTGTGTAGGGGAGAAACATTCTCCCAATTTTGCCCATTTCCGCCAGTGGGTTAAAATAAAAAAAACGACTAATATCAACAGGACTATATTAACCAGAGAAAATTTGTACACACTAGTAGTATCTGATAGTTACTGGTATTTCACACCAATGAATGACTAAATTAACATAATTTTTACCCTTGATGTTAATTAAATATTCAAGTCTGTCAAGAGAAAAGCCTCCAACTGACATGAAATATAAATTATTTTTTTTTACTAAAATTGAAGATTATGAAAGTTAAGTTTTAAAAATTTTACCTACCAACCAAATTTTGATAAGAAAAAGTATTTTTCTTTCTTATATTGCTTGTACAAATAGTGATCTCTATAGGATATATTATTCCTTGAAATTGCTCTAAAATTTAATTTAAGGCTCACTAAAACATTAAAGTGTTTAAACATTTTCGAAATTTCATTTTCTAGAACAGTGTTGCATAAAAACTGAGGAACATAATTACTTTCGTGAATGCAAAAATCAGATAAGAGATGCATTCATCAGGTGTATTTTAAGGAGAACTTCTCTGTCATGCAACAACGAAATGAAGTACAAAGTTCACACAGGACAAATGACTTAATTATCCTACACACACTTTTGTGCAGTTGCACACACTGTACGAAGAATATATTCATATGCAACAACCTTAGATTATTTGCCATATGAAAATTTATTTACAGAGCTAAGAAACTTCACGATCTTCAGTACATTGATATTTTTTCTGATGATTTCTGTTTTTCTGATGCACATAGTTTTAAAACATTCCAAAAATGTGAATAATTAAATACCAGCTGAGCCTATCAGATTAAAAGGAAAAACTTAATTTTTTTTTATTTTTCTACATATTTTAAGGTTTATTATGGCATTGTAAATTTCTTATGTCACAATTAAAACATGAGCATTATTTATTTCTCATTTAATTGCAAACGTGATCAAGAAATAAACTTCCTACTTAATAAATCTTTAAATAATTTTTTATATGTTTATTTATTTTTATAAAAGAAGTGTAGTGTACAAAAAAGTACTTTACTCAAAAATTTGTAAGCAAAGCTCTTTCTTACTTATCAAATATATTCATAAAACCATTTTTCTTTTGTAATCTTTTATTTACTTATGGCTTCTATTTTGTAAAAGCTGATCCACAATTTGAAAATCAGAATCTTATCACTATATCCAATTAATTTGCACGTTTCAGAAATTTTCAAAGTCATAATCTTTACAACTTGAATGTTTTTGATAATAATATAATCTTCTTAAAAACCCTTTTTTTTAAAATTTTGTTATAATTCATAGAAATATGGAAACTGCCTACTGTGCAATTTTGATATTTATGTAAGTTACATCCTTAACAGTCAGTCTTTATTATTTTTTTAAAAAAGACTATATTTTATAGTTTTTAAACAAGTGCAGAGGACTCCCAAGAATCATCCCTATAAAAAATATTAAAAGTATTTATGACTTTTTAATCAAATTATACACAGTCGAAGTCAGCAAATGTTATGTCCATTACAATGGAATTGTCCATATTAGGTATTTCCACAGTACCAGAAGTATCTATCAACATAGTTAAGAAACACTGGCATAAAACTTTATATGGCGATTTTTAATAGTTCTCTTCAAGAGAATTGAATGAAGGAAATTATCAAATAAAGGAAGGACGCAATTTTGAATAAATATAAAACACGATACTATTTTTTCTGAAATCAATATAAAGAAAAATAAAATTTTTACCAGTCATGAACGCTGTTAAAAGATTCCTCATTTGTCACATCATACATAAGAATAAAACCCATGGCACCACGATAGTAAGCAGTTGTAATAGTTCTATATCGTTCCTGTCCAGCAGTATCCTATAAAATATAGATACACAATAATGCATTAAAAGAATTTAATTTTAGTAATCCAAATAAATAGGTATTTCAAAGGAAAATAACATTATATAACATAATGCAAGAGCAATCAATATCAAAACATAAAAATTTTTGGAGTTCTGCACACATTTTTTGAAATTTTTTTTAGAATTTGAAATTAGACAACTTTTAAAATACTTGTGTAAAAATTTTCCTGCAGTTAATAAATTTCTTCGTTAATATTTGGTTATGATATATTTAAGATGAATAAAAAACTGAAGTTAATATTTTTCGGAAAACATATCCATAAAACGTTAAAAGAAATTTAGTCTATTAGATACTCGTTTAAAAATTTTGCACTATCACAAAAGCGCCCAGAGAAACAGAAGGTTATACATAAAAGCGAAATAAAAAATAGAAATCGATCTTAATTCTCAAAAAAAAATTTTAAAACTGAATATCTCAATTTTCCAATATCTGTGTTTTCAAGAAAAAGTATAAAGCTAGATAGAAACCAAAACAAAAATAGCTTTTAATTTCTTAAGGAAAAATTCAAAGCTAAAAATCTAAATTTAATTTTGCACACTGTCATATTTTTTGAAAAAAAAAAAGAGGATAAAAACAAATATAAATTAGAAACGCTTTTTAAAAATGTATCATAATAAAACTGCTGATAAAAAGTAAAGTTAAATCAAGCAAAAGAGAAAGCGAGAAAAAAAATTTAGCCCTCAAAAAATTACTTCAACATTAAAAAACATTGTTTTCCACACATCTAAAATATTTTAATGTTACTAGTTCTTACGGTACAGGCAAAAATTGAAAATAAAATAATCAAGTCTATCAGAAACACTCCATTAAAATGCTGTGCTAGAATAAAAACAAAAAGCAGCAAAAATGTTCTCTCTTAAAAAACAAAATCCTTTAAACAAAAATTGTTGCAAAAGTAAAAAAATTGACTTGTCCGAATATAATTAAAATAAACTAGCAATATGAAATTTGTGGTTCATAATAAAGTAATCAAGTTTCAATTCTCGCAATTTCAGTTTTTCATTTATCTTCTGAAACATAAATTTGCAAGCTGTGTGCAAGTTGAAGAACTTAAATATGTGTAAAAACTATTACTAGTAATGTATAATAAAAATTACGATTTCTAATTATTCTACATTAAATCTATTTTTTTTAAAAAAAAACTCAAAAAATACTTTGCCAAATATTTGGCCAAATTTTCAATCTGAAAGATCTGAATACTGAATAAGTGCCGAATATTCGGTGCATCCCTGATCAAAATAATCTTTTGAAAACATAAATTACTTGAATTTTACTTCTTTCCTTTTTATGGAATTTATAAAATTCTTTATTAGTCAGCAGTTTTCAAAATTTTTACTATAGCAAAAATTTGAAAAATACATTCTAGATCTATCATGTGTGAGTCAGAAACAGAAGTTAATCCCCATGTTAATAGGATTATTCTTTTAACTAATAAAAATTACTTCCTTTGGAGAAAGTTCTTTATAAAATACACATAAAGTTAATGAATCACAAAAAATATTTTCAAATGCTTAACATAATTGTCACAGAATAACTAGTTTCTACCAAAAAAGAAGAAAAAAATCTATTTTTGATTTTACTGGCCACCATAATAATAACATAATTTTACATACTATACAACATGAAGCTGCTCATTTATTCCTTAACTAAAAATTACGTAATTCAATTATGCAAAAAAAAAATTCTTTTTAAATTTAAAATTACAGTAACACTTTAAAACTAATAAAGTCATTGGGTGTATTCTTTAGATTTAGATAAAAAATATAAATTTAAAAAATGCACTTAACAATTTAAATTTAAATAAAAGTTTATGCAATATAAATATATATAAATAATGATTAAACTGAATTTATGAAGATGTGTAGAGAATTAAGCAAATTAAGAAAACCTAAATAAATATTACAAATGAAAATTTATGTATGTCCCCTTTAAAATTTTTAATAAAATTGTAACTGTGTCAAATATTTTTTTCAATCAAAAGTTTCAATAACTTTGAAATAAAAATAAAGTGAGTATTTGTGAGAAATGCAGCTGAAAATTTTTGCAAAAAAAATTTATACCACAGTTCTTATTGCCATTTAGTGTCTTTACCATATCTGAGATTTTATAAAGCAAAAATCTATGACAAATTTTGTTATAATTTAAAAAATCTATGTGTTCAACTATTAATAAATATCATTTCAATAAATATCTTGTTAGCAAAGATCTTAATTGTATAAATTAATTGGCATTGTCTTTAAGTATATAAATTTTTGAAATTTGATGAGTCCAAAATAGAGTCGAAATGAAATAGATCATAGAAATCTGATCACAGTCTTAGAATGTATAAATGGGCAATTCCATGATGACTGACATTACATAAATGGCATGGAAAGGACATAATTCGTATTTTTATTTGGAAATTCTCCTTGTTTTATAAGCAATAAGAGGATTACTTTTTAAAAATTTATTTTTAAAAAAATCAAATTAACAGGAAACATATTTACAGATTACAGAAAGCGACAAATAGAGAAAAAGCTCTTCCGACATGTGTTAAATTTTTTAAGTAAATGATGTTACAAATGCAAACTATATTAAAATTTTAATAAACTTTTTTGTCATTATTATTACAAAATACTTAAAAACTACTTACAATTTTTAAATTCACATCTAAAATAGTTAATAAAAACTAAGAAATTTGTCAATGGAAGGATGCTATTAAACGTTTAATTATTTATTTATTTTTTGTTATGTTGTCCTTCATATCATGGAATTGCACAAATGTTTAATATTTTCTTTATTGCTTTTATAAATAAAAATATCTACAAAATCAAAATGTAAAAATGAGGAGAAAAATAATAAATAATTAACTTATATGCATAACTTAAAATGAACTAAAAAAATAGAAAAAAAGTAAAATTGAATAAAATAAGAAAATTACCCAAATTTGAAGTTTTACTCTTTTATCTTGTCTAAAGACTGTCTTCACTTTAAAATCGATTCCCACAGTACTCACAAATGCTGAAGTAAAAGAATCTTCTGCATATCTAAACAAAAAAGAAGTTTTTCCAACACTGCTATTGCCTATTATTAAGATTTTGAACATGTAATCAAAGTTCTGATCAGCTGCATCCTTTTGCCATCTATCTGGACCTGCTGCCATCTAAAAATAGTGAAAAAGTAATCATTAGAATTAATTTTACTTGAGAATTAAACTTAGAAGAAAGAATTTAGTCACAAACATTGCTTTGAATAATTATATTTTTCCCCATGAAGCATTTCACATGTAAGTTTTTAATATACTTAATTTTTTACACAGTGAAAATTTGGAATCTTTTTAGTTGCAATATTCAGAAATTGCTTATAATTTTAAGCAAATAATTTTCTTTCAAATAAAAATTTGTTAATGCAGGAAAAATATAAAAATAATTTTTTAAATGATTTTTTAATTAATTTTAATTTTTTAACTTCTTATTTATTAATTTTTCAACTCCCAATTAATTCCTTTTTCACTTTTGAATAATGAAAATATTTTCAACAAAAATTAGATATCTAGATACAGTAAGATAAATTTTATTTTATATAGCTATAAAAATATTTTTGACTTTGCATCATTAATTAAAGAAAGTAAACTAATTGTTAAGTATTGGGACTTTAACAGTCAAATTTTATTTTTATGAAATTACAAAATGAGATAATAAAAATTTATTTCAAATGCATTTTATAAGATTCAACATTTATAAATCTTTACTCGATTCAAGTAGAATTCTATATTATAATACTTGATACACATGGAAAAAAATTAATTTCACTTGGGAAAAAAAAGGCTTTCATAAATATTTATTTGTTATTTCAGTTTTGTGTCAATAGACAAAAAGTTTAAAAAAAAAAAAAAATGAGAGAACACTTTCTTTTTAATGAATTTTTGAATTTCGAAAGACATTTAAAATAATAATAGTTTGCACAGTGTCTATAAAATAAACAAAACAATTAAAATGAGCAGACATTAAAAAAATCACTCCTTTAAAGCGTAATTGAACCTCTTTGAATTATTTATAATGCAATAGAGAGAACTGAGGTATAGAAAATAAAAACTTTTCAAGAAATACAAAATTTTATAATGAAGAGAACGAAGTTCGGCTAGTTTTAATTAAAAATTTTAAGAGAAGGAAGAAGAAAAAAAATGATTTTACTATACAATTAAGATTTTCTAATTCATACTAGGTACATATACCTAGCGTATTTCTAAAGATAGAAATAATGGATTTCTGTGAATAGTATATTTCGCCAGTGTGTATTGTATTTTACGATTGTATTTAAAATGAAATTCATAATTGATTAAAAGAAAAGAAACGGATATACAAATTGGATTATTAAAAAATTACAAATGAAGAAATGAAGTAAAGATATGAAAATAAAATATGAAATTAAAGACATGAAAAAAATTTCGCTGAACAACCAAACTTTAATTATAAACTAAATTAGAAAAAAAAATTCATGGTAGGAAAAAAAAGCAAAAACAATAATGCAAAGCACAAATAATAATTTACAAGTATTTAAATAATTTTTACAACTTCCTACTTAGCTATTAATCGAAAGCCGACTAAATTACAAAATTGTGGGAGCACTTTTGTTTATAATATTATTATTATTATAATATAATGTTAATAGCATAATATAAACAAAATCAACCACAGAGAACATCTGCAGTTTTTTTAAGAGAAAAGCATTTAAATTAAGATTACAGCAAAACCACAGATGATGAATTTAAAAATGGAGATTTTATGATTTACCTTAATTTGATCAAATTAGTGTTGATGTCTAATTATACAATATTATTAGTTTCCAATAAATATGTCAATGTCCCCAACAGGTGATAACAGGTTCTTTGAAATGATTAATGAATAATAATGATGGCGCTGAAACGATTACAATTGTGATTATTTTTTATATCGATATCTAATAAACAATCAATACTTTATTAAAGACATTGTAGAGGGCACTTGTGTAAACAAGAAGACATCAGCTCATTGGCTTGTGAAATCGATCATCAACAGTTGTATTTATCTACACGCAGTGTTTCCCAAAGTGTGGTACGCGTACCCCCCGGGGTACGGACACAGCTTAGCGGGAGTACGCGTTCTCATGCGAAATATCTTGCAAGAAGCGAAAATTTAATTTTTTTTTAAAAAAACAAAGCTAGCCATGAAAATTAACGATTACGTATTTTTCTATTGGCTATTTGTTGCAGAGTTAGCAGTTACTAATTAGTGGTGTCAACAGCCAGTTGTGACTTTTAACTTTTGTGCAATTTTTTCATAGTAAAAAATACATGCATTTTTTTATTAGTGGTACACAGCGTTACGAAACATTTAGAAAGGGTACACAAAAGTCATAAGTTTGAGAAATACTGATCTACAGCAACATTACTCCTTAGGTTTTATTATAGATTTTTAAGTTGGATTTTTCTGAACTTTTGAATATTTAGAATAATATCGAGTAGAAAAGTTCTCCTTAAGCGATGATTGCTGAAATCAAAAAAGTAAAAGGGGGAAGAAGAACCACTGTGCCGACCTTGGAATTTCCCAGAAAGCAGCACATTGGTTTCATCGTGTGTCCTTCTTAATAGAAATTTGATTATTTAAATGTTTCAGAAACGTTTCTGTTCAGAAACGGTTCAGAAACGTTTAAACGTTTCTGTGCTTAAAATGCTTATTTATTATCTCAAGCAAATGATCTTCCCTAGTGTCAAAACTAATTCGATTTGCACTTCGAATCGGAATTAATTAATGATCTCAGGATTCTTGATTATTCCCTAAGCAACTTACCACACACAGAATGAATTATTTTACAGTTCTATTTACAAATATATAAAATACAAACTCTCAAGGATATAAAATGACGTAAATATAAATATATTAATGATCAAAAATAAATAAATATAAGCACAAAGCCATTTTGTTTCCTCTCCACAAAAAGAAAACGAACAATCTCAAGAAAAAAAAGAAGAAAAAACTGCTACCATATCAACTTAATTTTATGAACTAAATCAAAGTTAAAAATTAAGCAGACGATAATTCTCAACATCGTCCCACCTAATTTAAATTATAGTCGAGTAATTGCATAGTTAGTTTACGTTCAAAAATATATCAATTAAAGTAAGAAAATTAAAATAATGAAATAGAAAATTATGAAATATATAGTGTTCAGAAGTTCAGTCTCTGAGATACTTTGATTCCAGACATTTGAATCTGATGGACAGAGCTTACTTCAGTCATATCATCAGAAATAGAATCTTTACAAATTTCATCTCCCACCTTCTCAGATGAATATTTCTCAAAAATGGGATCACTGTTGGAGATTTCACGTGGATATAGTACAAATTTAACTTGTTTACGCTTCTGGTATTGATGTCTAAAACAGTAAGACAGTTTTTTCTTTGCATTCGTGCATTATACACTTGTTAATAGAACAAAAAATTTAAAGAATTTTTGTGTATAAACAATACTTTTTTTAAATTTTTGCATGGACAGATGTATACACTTAATAGTGCTATCCAGAAACTATCTGAATAGGCAATGTTAATTCTCCGATACAACTGTTCATGTAATTATATAAGACGAATCCCAAGACAATCGGATTAATAGTTTAGAAGTTGTAAGCGTTTTGTGTACAAAAAATATAATTTTGCACCTGCTCTTATTTAAATATTTTACATAGCTATACAGAAAAGTGAAGTACTGTTTCCTAGGTATTTTTTCTGATTTAATCAAATGAGGCAAAAATGCGAATCAAAATGGCCGATATTTCAAAAGTTGAACTGATAGTACAGATGAGAGTAGGGGAGTTTTCAGGTATCATTTATATAATAGCATTTTTTCGAAAGAAACACCTCTTATTCTTTGCTATAATTATTGAACTATTATATCAGAGCGTAAAAAATGATTAGGAATCCTAACGTTATATTCAGAAACATATATCTGAAAGAAACGAAATAACGTATAAAATCGGTTGTTGAGAAGGACAATATCTGTTTAAGAGTAACCCAGAACTGTATGTAATATGGAAAAGAGACTATTAAGCTTTCTTTTTTTTTAACGGTGGGGAAATTTGAAACACATTGTTAGAAATTTATTTACTACACAAAAATTTTCAAACGTTTGATTAAAAACTTTGTACTTAAACTTTTTTCAGTAAATATTACTAAAACTAATTTAATGTCAACCATGTAACCCTGCTCTAAAATCTTAAAGGGAAAAATTATGAGCAATCCATATTTTGCATATAAAGGTAAATGAACTATGATACGTTGTTCCTTCTTTCCAATGAAATTTGCAGATAGAAAGCGATCGGTCTTTCCCCCTTTGCTATTATTATTTTTTATCATTTCTTTATATTTTGTTTAAAAAAGTATATTGATTTTTAAACATTTTTATTCTTAAAACCAATTTGTTCTTCAAAACTATGAGTGTAGCCACAGAGTTAAAAAACTTTAGTCTTATCAAGTTCTTTTTTCTTTCTTATTTTTTTTCTTTTTTGTATGACAAATATTCTTGAAAGAACGCGCTAATTTAACAAATGAAATATTGTTTGAAGCTTGAACACAATTATTGCTAACATAATCAAGAGTTTGAAATAGTTTTTGCGCTAAAAAATTCAAATTCGAATTTTAAAAAAATTTAATCTACCAGTAACGTGGAGTTAACTCTATAATTAACTTAATAATTATAAAGGAAAGCAAATCTGTCAATGGCATAGAAAAGGGAAGATTTGTAATAAAATTGATTCAGAGAATTGTAAACGTAAACAATTGTATGACAGACACACTTTATTTATTTACATTTTTAAGTTGAAATGCATAAATGAAAAATAGGGCTATTTAACTTTGGAAATTGAAAAAAATCATGAGCGAATGCTCATGGGACAAGGCACCATTGGAGAACACAGGGACAAGGCACCATTGAGAGGAATGAATGCTGGTGTCGATTCCATGCAATAACAAAAACTCGCATTTAAAAGTAACTCTAGTTTTCAATACTATAAGAATACAAAAAATTTAATTCTAAATTGACAAAACTTCTTTGAAAAAAACGCGCTTCAAAGCAGCAGAAATTTCAAAAAACGAAAGAATAAATGCAGCAATAAAGGAAACGAAGGAAATAAAAATAAAAATATGACCACCGAAGACGACGTCTTCACGCGCAACTTGTTTAATAGCCGATAACAGGTTTAATGAAAATTTGTATGAAAAATTCTTTTTTATTTCGTTATTTGTTTCGTTTTAGTTTTTATTTCGTTACTTAATTTTTATTGTGTGAGGTGAAAAAAAGATCTAGAACTAAATTATTGTAAAGAATAAACGTTTAATATAAAATATTCTGAAAAGAACATTTTTGATGTTTTTATGATGTTATTTTTAACTTGGATTTTCATTATTAAAATATTTGTTATCTATTGAAATATTTTTGTTCGTCTTGCGGTTTACCTCTTTCAGATAGATACGCGTTTCCATTAAATATGTAACATAGGCCATTTTTTTCCTTTGTTTTGCTTGCTTTCTCTACTATTTTAACACTTGACTTTGATTTTAACTCCATTTGATTGCTTTACATTGAGTATGTAATAATATTTGCGTTTAAAGTAGTATAACCACTTTAAACTCTTGTAATAATTTGTACTTTTAGCAAAATCATGATTTATGAAATATAGATATAAAAGTATGAAAGTTTTATTAGAATTTTAAAGAGGATGAATAAAGATATTGTGAGTCTCAGATTTGAATGAGGCTCCTTTTTTTTAAATTAAAGATTTAATTTATCCCACACACATAATTTCCAGAAAAGATAATATTGATGAATTAGTGTTTCGAAATTTGAAATATTAGATTTTTCAAAAAACAACTTTTTTATATTTAAAGTGATTATCTTTTTTGAAATAAAAAGAAATCATTTGCGGCTAATTAAATTATTTCTTACAGTCATCACATATTTTTTTTCAAATTAAAAGTTTTCAGCAATTGCCTCAAATTTAAAAACTTGAAATGTAGGGCTACATCTAAATTACTAAAAATTTCTTAATTTTAAACTTTATAATAAAATAAAATTTCTTCGGAAATCAATTTTAATGAAAATTATTCTGACAAAACTTTAAACTTCTCAAATATTTTAATTTTATATTATGTATTACTTTAAAGTATTTAAATTAGAGTAGATTTTCAGTTGTCAAAATGCAATTTTATTTAATTATTAAATATTTATTACTTTGTTGATCGAAAATAACTTTGCTTAATTTCTTCGACAGTTATAATTTAAAGTTACTACTTTTGAATAATTAAGTATCCTTTTATTTTTTATAATAGTTATTTTGTGATAAATATTACAATGTGATAAATACAAAAACCATACAGAGAACTAGTTTAAAAATATATTGCAACTTCAAATCTAATTCAGGTTTAGCTTTTACCTACATCATATACAATTGAATTAAAGTTTACTTTCGAAAATATCCGATTTGATCGGAAAAAAACATAAACGATCCTTAAAAACATCTTTCCTTGTCCGAAACATTCGAAGACCATATGCATTAATCTAATAAGGAGGGACACTTCGTGAATTTTTTAAACTTTTTTGAATGTTGTGTCAAATTTAAAACTATTTTCGAACTGTAGTACGTGTGTCAAATTTTCCGAAAATGCCCGATTCTGTCAGAAAATAAATATAGACGATCCTTTAAATCGTCCTTTTTTGTCCGAAACATTCCGCACAAATATCGAGAAAGTGTTTGATTTGAGAGTCAGCCTATAAGTTTTGACCACTCGGAGCACACTCCATCCACTGGTTACATCACATTTCAATTTCAAAAAGTTGCCCCTAAAATTCTCCAGGTGAGGCATTTATAATCAGATTCAAACAAACAAGTTATCTTCTCCTACACCCGTTATGCGACA